TGGGTTTTAATGTGCATTTCTCTTATTTTGCTGAGATTGGGCATCTCTTCATAACTTATTTGTAAAACTTTTTGCCTATGTGCATTTCACAGGGAGATTTCTAAAAGGGATACGTAATCAAAACGCATAGACTCACTGCTAGTCTAGCTAGAATTAGTTTTTGTAAGTTAGAGATCTAAATTATTTATTTTTCACAAATGGTTATGTTGTTTCAATACTATTTGTCAAATAAACCATTCTTCCTCTACTGATTTGAAATGTCACTTTTATAATTTACAGAATATATATTTGTGTTTGTTTCCGGATTCTCAGCTCTATCAGATTTATTTTTGGCATCAGGCACCTGAGTTATTCCTAACTTGGTTCCTTGAATGATAGGTGATTTTGTCAGCCAAGATAATGTGTTGCTTATGAGACAATAGATGATATAATTCATGATACACAAATCCTATTCTAGTTAAGTTTGATGTAAATCAGTTCCATTATCTACAAACCTGGAGAATTAAAAAAATGTGTAAACTTCTCTCAGATTGGTTCCTCTTTTTTTAGGGGACACCTCACAGATTCAATGTAGAGATGGAAAGCTTTTCACCAGGTCCCCCCTTTCTTAAAGTATTATTTGATGTTAAAGCTTTTTGGTGATTTCAGGTTGTTTACTGGCAATGTCAAAGCGTTTCACGTGACATGGCAGTTTTACTGTGGATTTATATGAACCTTTCATTTGACAAATGATTTGAGGTCCACAAAGTATGACATATACTTGGAATAAATAATATGGCACTTAAGCTTTTACTTTTATATTGGACTATGGGCTCCTGGAGTGCACAAATCATGTCTTATTCATCTTTCTATCCCCAAACATCTAGTACAGGGTGCAGCACCTGAATAGAATTGAATTGCATTTCAACAGTGTTTCTATAAAATAAAAATAAAACTCAAATTTCTCAAAAACAAAATCTTCACTTTAGGGGCTTTATAAAGTTACACATATTATTTTTTTGTCCATTTGTCACCTGATTAAATTATATATGTAATTTTTTTTTTAGTAAGAACACTAGAATTATACACTGATCTGATATTATTTCATGCCCAATGTGGGGAAAATGTTCCCTTGCTGTCTGTCCATGGACTTCCTCAGGTATAATCTATTGCAAGATGCATTCTTGCTGTGAAAGGATGGCAAGAAGTTGACCTGGAAAACATTTTAGAGTGTAGTGGGCAAGAGTACTTTACAGTTATATAGAAATACCTCAGGCATGCAAAAGAATGAAATGCAAAGATAAACTCAGCTTTTTTATGAGAAAGAAGTGTGGCATCGGCTTTGTTTTAAAATTCAGTTATTTTTATGGATTAAGTTAGCACACCTTTTCCTGCTCTGTTTCAAAGGAATAATTTTTGCTTCTGTGGACATGTCTTAGTCCACAACTTAGATGCTCTGTTTTTATAGCTCAGCCCATGATTTCAGACCATGGGAAAATTCCCCAAACTGCCTAATCTATCAGTTTCCCTGGTGAGAAGGAAAATAAAGCTCATTCATCATATAAGTATGTTAAATAAATTTTATGATCAAGTAGAATGTGCTAGTACAAAATACCAGCTTCTTATTTTACCATTGCTAGTCCTGAAAGGCTCTTACTTTATGACAATGCTGTTTCTTTTAAAAAAGGAATGTTTAAGACCTTTAACTTGCTTTGTATAGTGCTTCGCTTAGCATTTTTCATCTGTGAACACAGCATGTCATACCAATTGTAGTCCACTAAGAAAGTTGTTAAATAGCACTGTACAGTAATCTCTCCTCTGACAAAGGGAATATATGCATTCAAAAACAGATCTTGCTATAGAAATTGTGTGACCTGGCACAGAAATGTATGAAACAAGAATGCATTCCGGAATGTCAAAAAGGAGAAAATAGGGTGCAAATATACATGACTAAATAATAAACTATTAGTATTGCTGGAAAATAGAAACATGGATTACTAGGCTTGAGGCATAAGAAAGTGGGAAAAAAGGTTCAATTTCACTTAGGCAGGAGACTTACAGGGAAGAAAAAAGCTTTCTGTATTGAACTGTGGCAAAGACTGGAAAGTTGAAGCCTAGCAAAACCTATTCTGACTTGGGCTGTCAGTATCTGCAGTGGGTCCAGAAGCCACACTATCTTTTCTGGGGAGGAAGGGATGGCTCCAAGGGACAGGCTTTGGACCTATGTTTCGGGGTCACTTTAATCTTAGTCACCATAAAAAGATCAAATTTGGTTTACCTTTAGGGCTGAATTTACACACAGCCAAGGCTCCCCTATCCTCCTCTCCTTTTGCTAAATTCTTCAAATTTCTTTAACGGGAAACAGACTTTCTTTTCTTAGCGATATATGGCTCTTGGAAGGAAAAGTCAGACTCAAACTCTCTAAGACCTGGGGCTCTCTGACCTATCCTTGGAGCAAGAAAGAACAGGAACCTGATATTGGGATTGAATGTTCATCGTGGAGGAAAAAATGGTACAGAAAGATGAAAGACAAACTTCCGTCATGAGTGTCACAAGGTGGCCAATATAATTTTTTCTGGATTACTGTTGTCCCTCCTAAATTATTTTTTGGCTTCCAGTTTCAGGCCCCCAATCTACCTCTCATCTGCCACTGAAATAATTTTTCTAAAATGCAAATCTGATCACAATGCCACTGCTTAAAATCATTCAATAAATCATTCTTGCTTTCTGAAGAGATGCCAAACTACTAAGGTCAGTGAGGCAGTCATTGCCTGACTCTGGTGAAACAATTTTGTGGCTACTCAAGCTTTATGTTCTCCTTTAAGCTTTTGAGCAGTTTTCTTTTGTGACCTCTTTGAGGAAGCCTTCCCTGACGAAGCCATCATTGACTGTATAAGTCTCGGTTATTGCATTTTATCTGTTGGTTTGCCTATATCCTTCATTAAACTGAATTTTGAGGGCTGGGTTTTGTCTTTTTAGCAGGATTATTCAAGAGAATTGAGTCATATCACAAAGTACCTGCCACTTCAACTTAGAAGTTTGTTTCCAGAAGATTAGCTGATATTTCTGGTTCTCCCAAGATACACCTCCATGAAGAACAGGTATTTTGCTTACTCTAAAGGACCCCTCCCCTGCAACATTTTTTTTTTAAAGGTCCAAGAGTGACTAGAGTTTGGAACTTGAAGAAATACCATAATCTCTGACCTGTGACAATTCCTTGGGATTATCCATCATTGGGGGCTTAATGATAAAGCAATTCTTGTGGTGATACTTCTACTTAGCTCAGAACTTCAGAAATAGAATTGGAAATATCCAGCTATTTTGAACATGCAATTATGAGTTTCACTGCACATTAACACCTCATTAACTACCACCATCCCCCCCTTTTTTTGGGGGGGGGAGGGATGTGTAGCAAGCAAGCTATAAAAGCACATTTTACCTAAAACGAATTTTCTTTGGGGAAAGTTAGATTTGTATTACGGACACATTGCTATATCAGAAACAAAATTTTCTATGATTTTCTGGTTGGCTAAAAAGTAAACCAACAGAAAACTTATGTGGCACCTTGGTCTATGAGCATTGCACTGAAAAAATAATAGATGGCATTCTTATGAGACAGTGGCCCCAAACTAGCATCTCAATAAACATTCCAGTGATGTGGAGGAGACCCTAAATCTCCAAGGTAAAACTGAAATTTACTTCAGACCGTAAAAAACTTATCAATTGGGGGAATGCCACGTTTCCAAATAGTGTATCTGATGCTGAAAAACAGCAGCTTTCCCACTCTTAAGTTTGGCCCTGACTTTGGAGTGGGGCTGTGCCTCATCAGAGTAGGTTTGGATGTAAAGGCTTCTTTTCAGTTATCTTTGGGGGTGTACATAATGGGAGGTTGGGTCCAAAGGGAAGGAAGGATAGGAAAGCAGAGGACAGGCACTACTATATAATTTTGCATTTTTTTAACACTGCACCATGAGCTGAATATCTTCTCAGGTCATTAAACTAAAAAGTTTAATATTTAAGGCTCTTGATACACATTGCCAAACTACTTTCTAAAAGTACACAGGAAAGCTTGTCTTTTACATTAGACTCTGCTATTTAAAAGACAAGTAATCATTTGCTAAATAGTTTCTTAGATTATCAGTGGTTGAACCTTTAGAAATTGCCATCTATTACTTCTGTGAACTATCCACGTTTTCTTTTCTGTGCTTTTCAAAATGTAAAAATAGTAACTGTTTTAAAATACATTAATCATTTCCTTTGTGACTATTACTTTTAGGTTTATAAAGTGTTCTTCTATCCCCAGAACCAAAATTTGTATTTTCACAAATTCTCTTTTCTAAAATTAGTTTTTCTCCACCTGTCATTAAATATCACAGTTTGCACTTGAGGGGCACAATTGGGGAGCCTTTTGGTTAACATTCCAACATGAAAGTTTCACTTTCTATCTCACCTGTGATGACTCTACTTAAAATCACTCTACCCACATCTTTGGAGTTGCTTATTCAAGCCTACATAGTTAGTTCTTTTAGTTATTTTTAATGTTATCCATTAACATTAAAATTTAGTTTATGTTGAACAATATATCCTATAGCACTAGAATATAAAATATTTGGTGATCCCATGTACATCCTGATTTTATTCATTCAGTTTGTGGCTAATCAGATTATTTAAAAAAAAACCTTATTTATCCTGTTTTTAACGCATAGAGCTAACTACTGGTTCTCATTAACTCCTGATTAGCTAGCTGGCTATAGATACAGAGCATGTTAATTTCTACAGGCACCTTTCTGAATTCAAGTAAATGTTTTGGTAGAAAAGGATTTCCTACCTAAATGTCATTGACACAGTATGAATATTGAGTACAAATATTGCTCAATATTCTTGCATTCTTTGTTTTACCTTGAAAATTTAGTAACTATCACTAGGTTATTAATAACACAGGTTTTCATTTAAGGAATATTTTGAACTGTGAAAATACAAATCTAATCAAATTAAATTTTGAACACATATAGAGCCAAATATTTCAACAAAACTGCAGTTTAATTTCAGAAAATGTGTTAAAATATATATTTATACATCAATTTCTGACATACACTTAATGTGTTAGTATACACAAAATGATGCTTTCTTGAAACTGTATTTATGAAATGTACATTTTAATTTAAATACTCAGTATACACTGCACTTAATCTGCATGTTGCATTTATTAAATACATTAAAATCTGCAATGTAACAAAACGTTTTCTGCATACGAAATTCAAAACACCATTTTAAATGAACAAAAGATGGCTCACTTCATTTTTTCTTGTATTTTACAACTAGTGTATAGTACACTAGCTCAGCTCCACCATAACTACCTGTTCGTTCTTTTTTATTTGACATTGTTCACAGACTAGTACATATTACGATAAGAGTGCTGGATAAAAACATGAGGTACGAAAGTGGTTCAAAGAGCATAGGTCATGCAGATCATGCTAGACAGCAAAGAAAATTGTGACCGAGAAAACACTAAATAAAAATACATAAAGAATGTGCATTGTAAAAAAAAAACAAAAAAACAAAACAAAACAAAAAAACCTCCATTACACAGCTTTGCTTCTTTGGTTACAAAGTAGGTTGAACAATTTCACAGCTTTTTATTCCCACCCGAAGAAAAAAAAAAAGTCATACGAAATGTCAAAAAGCAGAGGAATCGTGGCAATTTCTCTATTAGAAAGTAGAAACAAATGAACAAAGTTTTCTTCATCAAAATAGCCCAATTATTTATTATATCACAATAACTGGTGACTACCTGTACAGTTGCACTATGTTCTTCATACTTACACTATACAAAATTTACATTCAAGCTGGGTCTTTACTAAAAATAAATACCGAAGATAAATTGCCATTAGTGTTAGAAATATGCCAGGATTCTTTTGTTCAATTATTGCCTAAACGTTTTATCTATTAAATGCAATCCTGTCTTTCAATTCCTTTACTGATACTTATAATTATTCAAAAAAATTAAAAAAGTTCTGTGACATTGTTCATGTACATTATGAAAATAGCAGCCCTGTAATAAATAAAACACAAATAAATGAAAACTTATGTAGGCAAATGTTACTGATATTGAAAGAAAAGTGGCTCTTTAGATGAACTGTTATTTATAATGTGATAGGAAGGCTCAGGGTAAATCCAGGGGTAATAGGAAAAATGGGAGAGCCACCAAAGCTCTTAAAAGACCCCACTCATGTGCACCAGGTAAAATGCAGACTTTGCTTGCTTTAATAAACCCCACCTATTATTCTCCTTGTGTACTGATGACATAAAACTGGACATCAACAGTGATGCAGACATCTCTAAGAGAAAAAAAGCTCTTGTAGAATGATTGTCTAATACTGAAAGGCCAAACACACAACCGAAGCATGGCTACTTGCTTTCGTATAAAGTGAAAAGAACACCAGTGGCACACAAGGATAGACTGCTTTCAGTTTTTTTCCTTAATGAGGCAAGAAAGGTTTATGCTGAGGAGACATTCGGCTGCTGTGGAGGTTGTGTTGGCTGCGGAGGCTGTGCTATCACTGCTTGCTGTTGAGAAGTGCTACCAGGATTGGCCTGTTGGGCTGGGAGTTGGGATAACTGATCATTGTTTGAAAGAGATTTTAACAGTGCATTTTCTCGTTCAAGTAAAGAGTTTCTTTCAACTAATTCTTTTATTTGTTCCTTTAGAACTTCCACTTCTTCTCTTACTGCATACATCAAATGGCTTTTCACCAGATCCTGTGAAAAACAAAATTGGGAATGTCAAAAAGAGAGAAAGGGAAAAGTATTGCTATTTGGTTCTAGCCTACCTGGTGCCTTATAAACACAGATGTTTTTCTATTGGTTTTCCTACTCTTGCTTTTAATGTTTCTACTATATCTTGACTGGCCCTAAGGGAAATGCGGTGGAAAAAATCCAGTTCCTAGCTAGGATAGCAAGCCCATGATTTTCTTTTAAAAGTTTGGAGTTATTTCCAAAAATACGAGCTCCTTAAATTATCAATTATAAGCTTAGAATTCAAAATCAGTTTAAAATTACATGTTTAGATGTTGGACTAAGAAAACAAAGGACAGTAAACTTTCTAATATTAAACTAGTTATAGTACTGCTTTAACAGATAAAGTGATCTATAATTTCCAACTTAAAAACTTTAGTTTTTAAAAATAGTTTGAGAATAATGGTTCTTATTTTTAGCCTACCTACAGTTTTAATAGGCTTGAATCAAAATATTTTATGTAATATAAATAGAGAGTATCTTTAAGGGAACAAAAAAATTTGATACAAATAGCAGAAATCAGAACCAGAATCAACAGAAACAAGTCTGTTTATTAAAGCTGAGTAAAGCAGTGTCTGTAAATGACCAAAGGAGAACAATTTCCTATTGAAGTTTTCATTTTAATACTTTTATCTCTAAACTGTTTTTGATGCTGAAATATTTGGGAGAACACCATGCATTTTGATTTTGTATGCCCCTGTCCCCCAAATGGCCCTTATCAATGGTAATGCATTAAATGTGAGATGTTCAAATGGGGGAAATATTTACTTCACTGGTATCTCTACACTAAAATTTCTCAATGTTCTAGCATCTGCAACTAAATTTCATTATCAAAAACAAACTTTGGTCATCTTGGTTTAAAGAAATTAGGTGTTTCTTTTTTAGAATTGATAAAAACCAAGTGCTTTATACAACCAACAATCTATGAAATGAGAGGACTATAAACTTTTACTTACCATTGCTTGTTCTATTTTGTTGTCAATGGCTACACCACCTCCCCCAGATGCACTGGAAAAAATTAGAATATTTCATTAAATTATTCTAAAAAATGTATTCTCCCTTCCAACTCTTAAGATAATTAAGAACATTTGTGTTTTACTTAAAACAAAAACAGTAATTTAAAATAGCTTATTTAAGTCTGTTCTCACAATTTTAGTCCTCAGAGCTCTCATTTTGAAAATAAGGATCTCGGCAAATAGATGATTTCTAAAAATCCTTTGTAATTCCTTTTCTATTTTGCCTATGACAAAATACGCTACTTTAACTTCCAATGCTACTCAGGAGTTCTCAATTCAGTAAACTTAAAAAGATAAATTTTAAATGAGCAGTACCCTCTCCACATATCTTAAACTTCATTTACCAACTACATATTCTAATTGCCTTTCAGGTGGAAATTCCAATAGTTACTTATTGCATTAAAATTCAGATGATGACTTTTCTTCTATAGATTTTATATTTTAAGATCTAGTTTAAAATTTTTTTAGAACTGGCTTCTAAAAATGATTCAGAGGCCTTTAGGGCAAACACTACTTGCTGGACTGGTTAACAAGGAACTCAACATTCTGGCAGACCTATATGCTTTGATTGTAGATTACTCACTGGCAAAAATCATCTAAGGTATGAGTTTGGACTAGTTTTTCCTGGAAATAATTGAAAGTAGTCTAGCTGGTAAGTACATCCCAAGTTCAAATATCGCTTTAGCATTTGTATGATAGTGACACAGAAGGCTGAATAACTGTTCTCTTTGGCAGTTTACATTTTCCTGTGTATTAACTTAAACACTAAGAGTAGTGAAGGTCTATATTTTCTTCTTGGTGTTTTTGTAAATTTTGAAGAGCAGTTATTAGGTTTTCCTGTAAAAACAAATCTGATACTTTAATCCACTGCATCAATACAAAAAGAAGTGTTTAAATAACTTTTATATAAGACTTTACTAAATACTTTTCATAAAGTATACCCCACCTAAGAAAATTTATGTGCTAATATACCTGAAGACTATTTTATTTTAGATGATGTGGACCCTCAATGTTATATCAAACTGAGGCTCAGAAATATCCTGTCTGGTGTAGAGGCGCCTTTTATATTATAATCCAAGTAGATCTGGTTATATTCCTGGTTCTGCTACTCACTACCTATGTGACCATCAGCAAATCAACTATTTAACTTCCTTGGACCTCAGTTTCCTCAACTGTAAAATGAAGAGACTGGTGTCAATGTCTCAATGGGCTTTCCATTTCTAAATCCTCAATGCTCTGAATCAAAACAAGGGAAATACTAAGCTTGTTTACCTGAGCATTATCCACATTAATTACAACATACTACTTCACTTCTTGCTGCTATTTCTGAGTGAAAAGGGGCTTCTGTATACCTAAATAACTGGAAAGGATACACACACACATTTAATAAATACTTATATATGCTAGCCTTTTAATGCTTATATGGAGTTGTGCAAAGTACATCTATATATAACTATAAGGTACAGAATAACCACATAAATCATTAAGGCTTCATTGTAAAGTTCAGGCCAGATGCCATGTGTCTGTATTCACTAAATATTGGCCACAACTTGGTAAAAAAGATAGTGATAAGCATTTAGAGTTTACCTGAGAATTATAAATTATACTTTCCATATTTTTTATTTCTATGTCAAGGAAAAACAAAGGATTAATATTTTAATTTTGTTAAGCACTACACTTTAACGGAATTAAATCAGTCACAGGTACAATTGCTATCACTATAGTGACTTTTGGCTACTTTGAAGGCTGTTATTCAAGAATTCTATAATCTGTAGTGGTTCTTCAACTTTTGCATGCACCAGAGTCATCTGGAGGTTTGCTAAAACACTGCTGGACTCCACCTCAGTTTCTGATACAGTAGGTCTAGGGTGGGGCCCAGGAATTTTCATTTCTAGCAAGCTTCCGGGTGATGCTGATTCCGCTGCCTGTCAGACCATAAGTACTTTGAGAATCACTGGCTTACAGAAATGAAAGTTCTAAGAGAATGAGTAACAAAAACGTAATTCTATTTTTTAAAAAAAATCTTAATAGCCTGGTATACAAAACCTTTCATGACCTTGAATCTTGCCTTCTATAGTCTCCTTTCCTCTCATACTCCATCTGGCCTGTGTAATATTGTAACTATTTTCAGTCTGTGGACCATACATTCTTCTCAGGTTTCTATGCCTTTGCAGAAATTGCTCCTTCATCTGGAAATGTTGACAGTTCAAATTCATCTGGCAATCTTTTACTTGTTTCTTAAGATGCTCCAGTGCCATCTTTTCTGTGATGCCTTCTGATTTCCTAAGGCAGAGCCAATTACTCCATACCCTCCTGTGCTCCACTAACCTTCACAAACTTTTTATGAAAGCGGAATAGCAAATTCTGGCTTCTCCGTATCCTCACTGTGTACATTCTGGGAAATTATTTAACCTTTCTAAACCTCATTTTTTTTCATCTAAAATAAGAATTGTATGCCCCAATTCATAAACTCCTGTGAGGATTAACTGAGTTTAAATAACACTACCATTGTTAACTCTGTGCTCCTTGAGGGAGATCCCTTATCTTCTTCACCTCTGAGGAAGTGAATACTGTACTTGGCACATAAGAGTTCAAATGCATGCTGAAAGAGTCACTATGATAGTAAATGGATTTGAAACTATTACTGGTTCATACTAAAAAGCCAATAAAAATTTTTGTGTTTCACTAAATTAGTAGTGCTCAAAGTATGGTCCCTGCACCAGCAGCATCAGCATAACCTGGAAACTTATTGGAAATGTAAATATTTGGGTCTCCTCCAGACCTACTGAATTAGACACTCTTGAGGTGAGACCCAGGAAGTCTATTTTAATAACTCCTTCAGGTGATTCTGATAGAAACTACAGTTTGAGAACCACTGCTTTAAATAGCCTGATTTACAATAAAGATATCAATACAGTAGTCTTGATCTCACATTGATCTCACATTAAAAAAAAGAAAAAGAAACTAAGAGAAATCAACTTTTTCTTTATTAATGTGGACAGACATCATAGCTACTTGTTTAAAATAAAAATAGTGTAAATTTCTTCTTTTACATTTTGATTATTTCTTCTTTTACATTTTGATTATTTTCTTCTGTTCTCCCCTCAATACAAATGCTAATTAACAAAGCAACAGGTAAAGAACACTTAAATAAGCAGATAAGAGGGTATTTGACTTCAAGATCCAGAACATGGTTTAAGAATATTGTCTCCATGAGGGGTAACAAGTTTTCAATTGTGTTCAAAGTCAAAACAACTGTCAGTTCTCTTTTTAAATGAGAAAAATTGAAGCAGAATGAATAATTTTCCTATGTTTGCTTCCTTGACCTAATGTTATATTATTATAACCGTTTCTTTTTCATTATTGCATTCACCACACTGTAACTTGATGGTTAAGCAGTTTCTGAACCTAAGTCTCTTAAGGAAAGGCTTCCTGTCTAGGACTTTGCAACTATTCTTGTAAACTTTAAGTGCTATATAAAGGCGAGGGATAATTTTTTAAAAGAAAGAAAACTTTCTGTTTGCTATGGGTCACTCTTTTAGAATAAAATCATATCTTGATTAGCATTTACTAGAGGAGTGAAAAATTGTGGAAAAACGGACAGGAATATAGAACTGTAGGGGTAAAAAGATAAGAATGATGATGAATTTTTAATTACTGGAATTGAAGCCCCAAGAGAACCAAATAAGCTTGAATTTAGTGTTTTTAAAAACTAAATTGCAATCACATTCAAAGGAAAAGTAAAACTCACTTAAAGTATCAGTGCTACAGCAAGACAGCTTGGCTTTCCATGCTGCTGTTCATCATTTAATTCATCTCAACTGGCTGCCAACCACAGCCTTTCTTCCCAGTCCTCCCTGGTCTTATCACAATAAATGACCTGCAACTCACTGAGAAGACAAGAGGCCAGATATAAACTTCTGGCTTCACAAGTTTCCTATATTTTTATCTTTCTTAAAAGGCTAACTGTTTCATCCATACTCTCAGCTCAGCAAACCATCTCTAGTCTTTCCTCTCTAAAAGTTAAAATCAAAGAGCCATGCTAACTTGATTTCACATTTAAAAAAAAAAAGAAAAAGAAACTAAGAGAAATCAACTTTTTCTTTATTAATGTGGACAGACATCATAGCTACTTGTTTAAAATAAAAATAGTGTAAATTTCTTTTACATTTTGATTATTTCTTCTTTTACATTTTGATTATTTTCTTCTGTTCTCCCCTCAATACAAATGCTAATTAACAAAGCAACAGGTAAAGAACACTTAAATGACTGCCAACTTTACAGCAGGCACACATTAGATTTATAACATAAATCTGATAAACTCATTAAATAAAGCCTGAGCAACATTCTCATTTTACAGTTGAGGAAACTGAGGTCAAGTAACTTACTCAAAGACAGTGTTAGGGTCAGGATTCAAAGCTAGACCCAATTAAATGTCAAAACACATGCTTTTTTAATCTACTATAATAGTAAGACTGTGAAAGGAAGAAAGCAAGTATCTATAATGATCTAAAAAAAAGGGGTGTGTATATGATGAAGAGTGCTTTGACTAAGCACCACATGCTAATTGTGAAACTATATGCATGGATCCAAAGATTAAAACTGTTCATAATATGACATTTCTCTTATCTAACACATTCCTAGATGAGGTTCAAGCTGTGAGAACAAGGGAGGTAACTTCTTAGAAAAGGCACTTGCTCAGTGATCTTTAGACAGCCAGTATAGTTTTACCTATTTGCTAAGAACTAAAATGTTCTTTTGGTTTCTATCTATCCATACACAGAATAGTGTAAAAAAAAAATTACCCTGCTTTACTCAAAGACCCTTCTAACTCTGTGTTGACTTGCAATCACAAAATCCACTAGAGGATTTTCTTAAATTAAAAAATCAAATCTTTTGTGTTAAGAACAAACTTCTTCGATTGAGCTGGCAAACCTGATAAATACTTATGTCCAAGCCCCCTTATCCAAACCAGGTAAAAATGATTCTTCA